GTGTGGTCATACAGGGAGACATCGTCCTTGGCAGTGATCTGGAGGAACAGGTGCAGGTCATCCAACCAAACTTCAAACTTAATCGGGCGGCCCTCAGCGTCAAAAGTGAGAATAGAGGGAGTGGCCATAGCGGCAGTAGCAGCAGTAGGAACAGTAGGAGAAGTAGCAGTAGCAGTAACAGTAGCAGCTAAAGTAGTAGGATCGGCAGCAACAGGAACCGGAGTTGCTGCAGTTAAGGCACAGAAAGCCGGCGCGGCTCGGCCAGGGTGGCGCGGCTCGGTTCGGGCGGCGTGGCTCGGTTTGGGCGGCGCGGCTCGGTTCAGGCGGCGCGGCTCGGCTCGGACTGGGCTACGCGGCGGTGCGCGACGGGGGGGGGGTGGGGGTGGGGCGTGCGCATGGGCGGCCGTAGCGGGCAGGCCGCGGCTGTGCGTGGACCTGACTAGCGTGCGGACGGCGGCCTAGAGGGGTGACGCGGCGGCCTACGGGCGGGGCTGCGACGCTCTGGGCGGCGGTCGACGGGCGGCTAGGGGGCTGCTCGTGGGTGGCGCTGGTCGCGCGGGCGGCTAGTGGTCGGCGCGCGTTCAGAAAAGGCCGCGCGCGGGCTGCTAGCGGGCTACGAGCGCTAAAAAAAAAGGACGCGCGCGGCACTAGCGAGCTGCGCACGGGCAACAGGAGAAGGAGAGGCGCACAAGGGCGCACTAGGAGAGAGGCGCTCGAGGGCGCTACGTCTTTAGGGCGCTCGAGGGCGCTTCTAGCGGAAACAGTGGGCCCTTAGGTAAGCGTTCCTAGGTCTAACCTAAGCTCTTAATACCATGTTAGAAACAAGAAGTGGTTGAACTATGAAACATTGGAGTACAAGTATGAAACCCTAGAGTTGTGTACCCCCTAAAGGCTAACCCACTATAGCCTACACAGCAATAACATATATATAATGTTTGCCAGTGTTGGTGTCGCCACTGCTGCGGGTGTTGTCGCTGCTGCATTCGCTGCTGTGGTGGCGATCCCTGGTTGGTGTGTCAGATTGGCCTTGAGCCGACGAAGCGTCGCCAGCGTCTGCTCCTGTTTGTGCGGAGGCTCGCGATGTCGCTCGTGGTCGCGTAGTTGTCGCCTTGGCCCTCCATGCGTGACATTAGCGCGTCCGAAAACCGAATCGAGGGGGAGCGAAAAAAGCACGGAACCAGTTTTACGTACCCGAAATCGATGTTTAACTTCGTCGCCCCCGCGGTTTTTGAAGACTGGTTTTAACGGTCGAAAAAGCTTCGCGTGTAAACGGGCTCTGATAACCAAGTGTGAGGATCTAGGATCGAGCTCAAAAAAGAGAATGTGAATTGAATTGAATGATCACCTGGGTACAACACAAGGCTATATATAGGCTCGACACAAGGCCCCGTAACCAGGTGTTACGCGAAGGTTCCGCGGGTCGCGAAGTGTCCCGAACAGATTCTTCCCGAATTCGGTAGAAGGCGATTCGGTGGCAACCGAAAAGCCAGAATTCGGTGCACGTAACCTAGCTCGGTGCTATAACTATAATAAAATATAGGAAAGCACCTAGCCTAGGAAATCAAGCAATTGATGCATGCATATAATTATCCTATGCTAGAAATAGCATAATAAAGTAAGGCAAGCAAGCATAGCTGGCATAAGCCGTCCTACTCTTACACATATGCTGTCCGCAGCAACTGTCCAAGAACCAAGTGTCCTTCCCGGACGGCTCACTTTGGGCGATGGCTGCGTACGTCGGGTCCGGTTGAAGTGACTCGCGCGAGGTGTGATGTTGTCGAGTTGTTCTTCCGGTGAGTAGTGCGGCGGTGACTCGGTGATGCAGGAGTCGGTCAGTTTTTCCATGCAGCTGACGATGTTTCTTACTCCTTGTGCAGATTGTGTTGTTGAAGGCTGCGTCTGATTCGTAGGGTTCGCCTGCGTCGATGCCACTTGGCTGCTTGAGGGTCAAAGCTGCCGTTGCGGTGGACTTGACTGTTCTCGATTCGGGCAATGTGTGCGTGGGTGTCGTGACGTCTTGCAAATATGGCAGAACGGAGGTACAGGCTTTGGTTGTTGTCGGTTGTTGTTGTTGTAGCGTCGCTGAGTGTGGAAAGCGAATTCCGGTGCTCACATCTTCCTCTTATGTCTTTCTTCATAAAGGTCCATGTCTTGTTGCTCGCCATGAATTTCAGAGCAAAGTGTTGCTTCGGAGATTCTTCCGTGAGCTCAGAGAATGGCTTTTGTGGCGCGCCATTGAGGACCGAGGCCGCCGATGATGACTGTCACGAAGGCGTCTTCAGATATCGACCCTCCGCATCGAAGGAGTTTGTCGCGTGATTCGCGACAGCGATTGATATACGCCATCCCCTTTTCCCTTGGTTTCATTTTGACTGTTGTCAGTTGCGCCATTAGTCGACTCTGATTTACGCTGTCTTTTGCTTGATACAAGATTTTCAAGTGGCTGTATGCGAGCTCGGCGGAGTTGCCGTATCCCCGGTAAGACCGTATATTCTGTTGCTGAGTCGGGGTGATATTCCTCAGTAGGATTGTGTACGCCATCATTGACTGATAGGTGTACTGCTGCTTCTCGTACTGTGTGTCGTTTGTTGGATATGGTAGGGATTCGTCGAAGAAGCCGAGGATTTGCGCGCCTTCCATCATTAGCTCGAACTCGAATGACCAGGTAAAGAAGTCCTTTTCGTTGAAAGGTCTTGACGTCTGCAGCTTCAGGACGTGCGCAAACTGTGACTGAACTTGTAGCGCGTCCAGTGTCTTCTCTTGTCCAGGTACAGGCTGCGATTGTGGCATAAAGCTGACGGAGCCGCGTTGGGGCTTGTACGGAGCAAAGGTAGGTTGCTGCTGTTGATTTCCACGTGCGTAGGATGAACCATCGAGGCTCGTTGGATTCACGTCGTTGTTGTTGTTGCTATTGTGTGACTGCGCAGGTGCCAATCGCTGGTGTTGCTCGTAGAAGGACATGAAGGAGAAAAACTTCTCCATCATGCTCTGGTCGAAGCCTGCACGTTGATTCGCGGGAGTCTCGGTGGATGTTGCCCTGGGTCTTGTTGCCGTACCCTCCTCTGTCTGTAGGCGAGAGGCATGAGGTGGAGTAGGAGTAGTGCCGGGAGAACCAATAGAGGAACTCCTTTCCTTCTAAGTAGCCATGTATTCTGATGTTGTAGGTGTCTTGATAGTTGAATTCCCCCTGATAGCTCTCATACAGGCCCTCAGATTCGTTTTTGGCCTGTCTGATTCGTCAGACTAGTACACAATTTTAGTTTGAAAATCTCATAGTTGGTATAAAAAAAAGGCTGAAATTGCAGAGTGTCCTAAAAAAAAAGTCTGATCATTCAAAAACAATGTATTCAATGTTTCATCGGAATGTAATCAATGTTTCATTCATCTGCTACCGGAACACACAACAGTAAGGGGATTTCCGATAAAACATGCTCTGACAGGGCGAATCTTGTGGTGCGAAAGAGCGAATCTGCAATGTCAGGGAGAGTTTTCTGTGATTGGTCGAAAATTGTTGTGCTCTGACAGCGCAAATCTGTTGTGTCAGGGTGATTTTGCTATTAGTGGGCGAAAAACTTGTGCTGTAAGGCCCGGATTTGCTGTGTCAAGGCGATTTTGCGTTGACATTGCGAATCTGTTGTGACCCGTAAGTCCGAATCACCAGTCAAGGACGCGTTTGTACTCTGAATGATCAGAGTACACTCTCAGAAAACTCTGAACTCTCAGAGTTAGCCTTAAAAAAAGTCTGAAAATTACAAAGTTTGGGCCCAAAAAAGTCTGATTTTAACAGAGTACACTGGAAAAAAAATCCTGAAATATCAGAGTTGTTTGTGCAAATCAGAGAAAAAAGTCTGAATTCGTAGGGCCTGCTCTCATACCATGTTGGGCTGAGAAAATAGCCCTTAGGATCTTTTCAGGGGTGAACTCTGGGTAAAACTGATGTAGTAGCGGAAGCGTTTAATGAAGAGTTGTGAACCACCTTGCGCTAGTATGTGAGGGCAAAGTTGATTGATTAAAGCAGAGAGATACAAGATTATATAAGAGTACAAGGAATACGAAGAGATACGGTTCCAACTGTTTTACTATTGCTGTTGCGGTTCGATACAGTGACGCCTCGGGCAACTGCTCTGTAACGAGTCAGATGTGGGTCCTTGCTATATCAAACAGCCTTTCCTCCCTAATGCTTCACTTCCTCTCTCCTCTCCTCCCCATCCCTCTCTGCTTTTCTCTTCCCCATCCCTATCTGCTTGTCTCCTCCCTTCCCTCTGTGCCCTCTCCTGAATGAGCTCTTTGCTGTTTTTTCCCTTTTGCCCTTCCACTCGGCTACTCCCATTTCCCCTGTCAAATGTTATACATTATCATAATAAGCTGTAGCGAGATGCACTGTAGAGGGTACAACTCTGTCTAGGGTTGCTATTTGTATCACCCACCTTGCTAGTCAATCAATTCCGCTATGTGTCACTCTTGAGATGGTATCACGAGTAGGTCAACAACGAATTGGTACGGTAAATGAAAAATGTTACACGAAAAAAACGAATGTAATATCTGTTGATCAGAATTGAACTTCATTAACATAAGATTTGCATGCCTTGCTAGTGTTATTGAGCGTCTTGAAGCAAGATCTCGTAGACATCAGTGCGCAGCCGCAACTCTTTGTCCCTCATCATGTTGGCAAGCTCGTTCAGCTCCTCTCCTTTGATAACCCCATGCAGCTGCGTAAAAGCATCTAACCACAACGCTTTGGACCTGCAACAGAAGAAAATAACAAATCCGCGAAAGAACAATACAATCACCCGTTGACATCAATTACATGCACAGAGGCAATATATATATATATATGTGTGTGTATATATATATGTGTATATATATATCATGAAAAAATAAATCGAGTAATGAGCAAACGCGGAAAAAGAACAGTAATGCATTAGACTCACCAGGGGCATGCGTGAATGGCTCTGAAGAAAACTCTCCGCGCAGCATCAGCATTCTGGCTGATGTGGAGCTCATAGCCAATGTACAGCCGCCACATCAGCACGCATTGCCCACTCCCCTGCGCTGAGCTGGCGAGCGCCCGCTCCAGTAAGCCGCGCACACGTGGACGGGCTCCTGGCCGTGCCACCTCAACCAGGAGACTGAGCAGCCAGAGGAGTGGTGAGGGGTGGGACAGCCTGGCGGGGTGGGAGACGACAGTTGGTGAGAGTATGTGGTGGGTTAGATGTTTTGAGGTACATAACGACTCACCCAGGAGACTGAGCAGCCAGAGGAGTGGTGAGGGGTGGGACAGCCTGGCGGGGTGGGAGACGACAGTTGGTGAGAGTATGTGGTGGGTTAGATGTTTTGAGGTACATGACGACTCACCCAGGAGACTGATCAGCCAGAGGAGTGGTGAGGGGTGGGAGAGTCTGCAGGGGAGGGAGAGGGTAGTTGGTGCGAGTGGGTGGTGGGTTGGACGTTTGGGGTACATAACGACTCAACCAGGAGACTGATCAACCAGAGGAGCAGTGAGGGGTGGGACAGCCAAGAGAGGAGGGAGAGGGTAGGAGGGATGTCAGCATGCTTTAGGCCCCCAAGGTTCAAATGCTTTAGACCCCCAAGGTTCAAATGCTGACCCCCAAGGTTCAAGTGCTGACCCCCAAGGTTCAAATGCTGACCCCCAAGGTTCAAATGCTGACCCCCAAGGTTCAGGGGTTTCAAATGCTGCAAGGTCGTTAGAGATGAGAGTTGAAAAATAGCCTATGAGCCAAAACAAGTGTCCAGAGCAGGGACAAGAATTGAGAAGGCCAATCGAAGGTAGAACCATACTCATGTTCCTTGCACGGACCAGACAGGCATGCTGACCTAGCTGCTGACGTGGCACAGCTGACCTGGCTGCTGAAGTGGCATTGCTGACCTGGCGGTGGTTTGGTCGAAGAAGCGCCGGATGCTGTTGGTGAATGCACTGCGTGACTCTAGCCGCAGGAAGTTTCCCAGGAGGTGCGTGTTGCTGGGGAACTCCTTCAAACCCTGCAGCACCACTCTCCGCACCTGCTGTGGCGGGATGGCTGGAAGGGGAGAGGGGGGAAGAAAATTGGGGGAAGAGTGAGGGTAAAGAAAGGAGGGGGGGGAGAAAGGAAGGCAGATGGCTGCGCAAAGCACACCCGCCTCTCCGCACCTGCTATTCGTGATGGCTATATGGGGGGAGGGGGGAGGGGGAAGGGGGAAGGGGGGAGGGGGAAGGGGGATCAGGCAGAGAGGCGGGAGATGGAGGGGAGTAAGGAGGGGAAAGATGGGCAGTTGAATGAAACATTTTTCTGCAACTTGCTGAAGGGAAGGAAAATAATAATAATAAAAACGATTGCAGCAGTTGCAGCTGCAGCAGTAGCGGAGAGAAGAGGGGAGCGGTGAGGTTGGGGGGGTGGAGGCGTTGGGTGGGGGACAGGGAAGAAGTACCTGGCAGGGCGTGCAGCAGCAGCGAGGCATGTCTCTCAAACAGCATCTCTAGTGGGAGACAGCAGGCACGGCGGCCCGGCAGCACAGCAGCAGTACACCCATCCATCACTGCAGCAGCGGCTGCAACCCCTTCAGGGAGGGATGGCGCGGCCAGGAGCTCAAACAGACTCGCACACAGCACCACAGCCACCGCTGCCGTTGCCCTGTTTCTCTCCTCCTGTGTGGGTCCCCCGGCGCATGTGCTGCCACTGCTGCTAGTGCTGCCAATGGCACCGTTGCTCCAAGGTAGGGTAGAGGCAGCACCACGGGGGGCAGAAGGGGGGGTGGTGGAGGACGTGGGGATAGCTGCTGAAGCAGTGGCGGCGGCGGTGGCAGCAGCTGAAGCCACAATGACTTTCTTTGCTTCTTGCAGCTTCAAGTGGAACCCTGCCCGCGCGCGTATCAGGGCAGCTTGAGGAAAATATTCACAAGCTTCCCAAGAGGAGGAGGGGCTGGTAACTCGCCCGCTCTCTTTCAACCCAGATGGGTCGAGTTGCGGAGGGAGTGGCGGGGGGGAAGAAAAAGGGGCAGATGCGGCGAAAGAGGCGAGAGTGTGGAGGGAAGACCAGTGATGGTTGATAGACCAGTGCAGACGCCCCTTTCTGCTCTGCTGCCGCCCTTGCTGCTGCCAGGGACGCTGGTGTTGGTTGGCGGAGTGATTGGTTGGCGATAGCTCGATGTGGGTGTATGCGAGCACAAGGAGAGGCGTGGCTTCAGCTGCGGCCTGAAAGGAGTATGGGGATGATGTAGGGGCGAATGGGAAGCAGGGAAGATGGGGGAGAGAGGGATTGGGAAAAGTCAGTATGGGATAGGTCGATGTGGGTGTGTGCACGGAGTGGGAAAGGTGTGGCTTGAGGTGCGGAGGGCAGGGAGTAAGGGGAAGATGCAGAGGTGGATCAGGAGCAGAGGAGGAGGGGACATGGAAGGGCAGAGGGGAAGGGGGGATGACAAGGGACAGGGGGGATGACAAGGGACAGGGGGGATGACAAGGGACAGGGGGGATGACAAGGGACAGGGGGGATCGCAGGGAGTCAGAGGGGGATAGCTTGATGTGCGTGAATATGTGAGCGAACGGAGAAGCGCAGTTTCAGATGCCGACTTGAGGAGTAGGGAGCATGCAAGGAGCAGGGGTGGAGAGAGGTGGAGAGGGGTGAAGAGGTGGATCGAGAGCAGGGGAGAAGGGGGGAGGAAAGAGCAGGGGGACAGGGGGATTGAAAGGAGTCAAGAGGGGGATAGCATAATGTGCAGTTTATGTGAGCAAAAGGAGAGGTGCGGTTTCAGATGCCGACTTGAGGAGTGGGGAGCATGCAAGGAGCAGGGGTGGAGAGAGGTGGAGAGGGGTGGAGAGGGGTAAAGACGGGTGAATTGGGAGCAGAGGTGGATGGGGAGCGGGGGAGACGGGGAGAGGAAAGACCAGGGGGAACAGGGGGATTGCAAGGAGTCAAGAGGGGGATAGCTCGATGTGTGCAAGGGAGGGGGTATATGTGAGCAAAAGGAGAGGCGTGGGTGCTGTGGCTGACTGAAAGGGTGGGAGCATGGGGCCTGTGATGCAGAGGCCCCATGTGCAGAGGCCCCATGTGCAGAGGCCCCATGTGCAGAGGGGGGCAAGAAGATGAGCGAGAAGATAGAACGGGTTCCTACGTGAAGCATTCCAAGGCGCCTCACACGAGCAGGGAGCATACCTTTGGAAGAGCAGCAACAGTTTGAGTTGACTCACAAGTCAACAAGAAGTTAGAGCGGGTTTCGACGTGAAGCAATCCACGGCGTCTCACAAACAGCAGGGAGCATACCTTGGGGAGAGCAGCAACAGAAGCCAGTGCCGTGTCGAGAACCTTCCTGGAAGCATCTAAGTTCCCACACTCCGCCTCGAGCCGGGCATAGGCGGCCCACAGACCCAGGTCCTGCCGCCTCGTCTTTAAAAGCCTCTTCACCTCCGCCTTGGCTGTAAGCGATACTTTAGCCGGTGCTGATCTAGCCTCAGAGAGGACATACCTTGGGAAGAGCAGCAACGGAAGCGAGTGCAGTGTCGAGAACCTTCCTGGCAGCATCCAGGTTGCCGCTCTCCGCCTCGAGCCGGGCATAGGCGGCCCACAGACCCAGGTCCTGCCGCCTCGTCTTTAACAGCCTCTTCACCTCTGTCTTGGCTGCTCTCACCGCCTTAGCTGCTGCTGACTGCTCGCCTGCTGCTGCTCCTGATGCTGCTGGTGGTGATTGGTTGAAGCAGGAATTTGCCATCGGCCAATCAGGATGGCCGAGAAGCAGGTGCGGTTCTGACACTGCTGGCTGAAAATTTACAGCAGAAGCAGTAGCAGTAGCAGTAGGTGCAGCAGCAGCATGTGTAGCAGAGTGTGTGGCACCAGCCTCTCTGCCCCTCGCTCGCTCCACCACGGCTTGTATGGCAGCTGCTGTGCCCCCTCTCTTCTTCCCTGCTGTTGTGCCATCCCCGGCTGTAGCAGTGCCGGCTGTAGCAGTGCCGGCTGTAGCGGTGCCACTGACAGAATTCGTTACGCTCTGAGGAGCAAGAGGCAAGAGGGGTGGTAGTGTGCGTGCACCACAAAATGTAGCAGCTGTAGCGGCTGTAGCGGCTACAGCTGCAGCTGACGTCACCACCAGGGCCTCCTGCAGGTGCTTATCATCCGGAACCCACTGACACGCAAGTTCCAGGAAGTTGCGCAGAAACCACACCCTCTCCATTCCCCCATCATCTTCCTCCTCCCCTTCCCCGCCGCCATCCCCATCTCGTCCCCTTCCCCTCCTTTGTCCTTCATCCCCCCATGCATCGAACCACATGGGGCCACCAGCGAGAGCATCCAACACAGCAGCACCACGAGCCAAGTTCCCTTGCTCCTCCTCCTCCTCCCCTACCTCTGCTCCTGCCACTTCTGCTCCCGCTGCCGCTGCCGCTTCTGTTCCTCCTGCTCCTGCCGACGCAGCAGAGGCAGCAGCAGTAGCACCGACACCCCCGCCACCAGCGGCAGCAGCACAAGGCTGAGGAGCAAAATGAGAGGTTGGAATACGAAAGGGGGCTGTGATGGACCATGGCATGCTCACGAAAGACTCTGATGCTTCCAGGAAGCTGCTGTCGTTGCTGCTGCGCCTGTTGGTTGGGAGGACAAGAAGCAGCAAGTGTTATCCGTTCATAAACACATCCCAAGAAAAAAAATGTAAGAGAAGAGAATAAACTATTGCAGGAAGAGTGCTGCTTATGAAACAATACCGAAACATCAAACACAAGCGCTGCCATCCGTATTTCCTTATTCTCTACTTCATGCACTCACTCCTTATATCCTTATCCACAAATACCTACAGGTAGATACATACGAAAACACTCAGTCCCTCACATTTCATTCTCACTCCGACAGACAGCACACAGCAATTGATAGGGAAGAGAAGGAGCAGGCACTCAGCCACCACCACCCACCACTCACCACCCAACAACCACCACTCACCACCACTCCCTACCCCCCACCACCACCCACCAGTGCGGTCTACAGCCACTCACCAGGCAGGCAGAGGCGCATCAAATAAGGCAGCAGCAGCGAGCAGCAGGTGAGTGGAGAGAGAATCAGCAGGTAGCAGCACTTCGCCACCACCACGGCCACCCACCACGGCCACCCACCACTCACCACCACGGCCACCCACCACTCACCACCACGGCCACCCACCACTCACCACCACGGCCACCCACCACTCACCACCACGGCCACCCACCACTCACCACCACGGCCACCCACCACTCACCACCACGGCCACCCACCACTCACCACCACGGCCACCCACCACTCACCACCACGGCCACCCACCACTCACCACCACGGCCACCCACCACTCACCACCACGGCCACCCACCACTCACCACCACGACCACCCACCACTCACCACCACGGCCACCCACCACTCACCACCACGGCCACCCACCACTCACCACCACGGCCACCCACCACTCACCACCACGGCCACCCACCACTCACCACCACGGCCACCCACCACTCACCACCACCCACCACCACCACCCACCACACCACCCACCACCACCACCCACCACACCACTACAGACACTCACCAAGCAGGCAGCGGCGCATCAAAGAAAGCAGCAGCAGCGAGCAGCAGGTGTCGCTTCGCTGCTTCAGAGTGCAGCGAGAACAGTCGACTCCTCACATCCTCATACTCCACCACCCTCTCTAGCTCCTCCTCCTCGTCCTCTTCTGCTGCTTGCTCGTCATCTCTTTTCCCCTTGTCTGCTGCTAGTGGTGGGAAGGGGTGCATGGGAGAGGAAATATGGATGAGAACAGTCGACTCCTCACATCCTCATACGCACCACCCTCTCCACCTCCTCCTCCTCCCCTTCGTCCATTTTCCCTTTCCTGGTAATCGTGGAAAGGGGAGGCGAGGGGCGGGTTACAAACGAGTCCACTCCTCACATCCTCACATCCTCACATCCTCAGACTCCGCCACTCACTCCAGCTCCGCCTCCTCTTGTGCACGCCTTTTGCCCTTCTGTGATGCACGAGCAAGCAAGGGGTGAAGAGAAAGGAGTCGGCTCCTCACATCCTCATACTCCACCACCACCACCCGTTCCAGCGCCTTTTGAGTCGACTCAAAAGTCACCTCGTTACTATGGCGCCCACCACCCATTCCAGCACCGCCTCATCAGTATGTGGATGTGAGGAAGAGAAAGGAGTCGCTTCCTCCTCATCAGTATGAGGATGTGAGGAAGAGAAAGGAGTCGCCTCCTCGTCATCCTCTGCCTCTTCCTCGTCCTTGTGTGCTTGCTGTTGCCTTGTGCCCTTCCCTGTTGCGGGTACAAGGAACGAGTGCATGGGAACGGGAAGCATGCATGACACACAACTTCTCACATTCTCATTCCACCTACATAACTTGCTTCTGCACAATGACTTAATGCCTTACCTCGCATTGGTTGCCATTGCCTACTCTCCCTCCTCCTCTCCTCAGCTGCCCACCGCTGCCACACACCCGGATCCTTCACCCAATCCTCGCCTGCCACGTCAGCAGCACCGCCACCAGCGCCACCACCTGTCCCGTCCTTCCCCGCTTTAATTCGTTCCATTACCTCTGCCTCTAGCACACCCTCCTCCTCCTCCTCCTCATCCTCATCCTCCTCTTCCTCTTCTTCATCCTCCTCATCTTCCTCCTCCTCCTCTCCATTTGAATCCTTGTCCCCTAGTTTCTCTCCCTTCTCTCCCTCCTCTGCCTCCTCTCCCTTACCCTCCTCCCCCTCCTTCTCCTCCTCTCCCTCCCCCACAACCTTCTTTCCCCCGCCCTCTCCCTTCCTCACAATCTCATGCCATCCAGTCCAACCCCCTTTCTCCTCCTCCTCCTCATTCTCCTCTTCCTCCTCCTCTTCCTCCTCTTCACCCTCCTTCCCCTCACCATTCCCATGACCTCCCCCTCCCTGTCCCCCTCCCTCTCCCCCCATCCCATACCCCTCTTCTCTAGCCAACCAAGCAGACCACCCTATCCCCCCTTCCTCCCCCACTCTCTCCCCTCCACCCTCCCAAAACGCCTGAAACAGCCGCAGCTTGCTACCCTCAGAAAAGGACAAGGGCAGGGGCGGCGGCCGGACGGCGTACTCCGTCTCGGCCTGCAGCAGCGCCACTGCCAGCTCAGCGTGCCCTGATTGGTGCTCGAAGCGGCACGAGTCCACCAGCATGTCCACTGCTGCGACCTCTGACGCTGCCAGCTGGCGTGTTTTGATTGGGTCGCTGGGCCTCTGTTGGAGCTGCGCGAATGGGAAGAATTAGAAAAAACGGGAAAGAAGGAAACGAGGGTAGAGTGTTCAAGCAGAAAGGATGGGGGAAGGCAGGCAGGGGTTGGGTGGGGAAGAAGATGGGTTGGGTTGGGTACAAGATTGCATTGTGCCGCTTTTGCTGCGTTGGTTCTGCAGTGCTCTCCAGGGCCAAGCCAAGTTGTGCGATGCCCCTTACACTGGAACCCTTGCACTCACCTCGCGCCACACCTGGTTCCTGCGTCCCACCAGGGCACGTATCGCTGCAATCAAACTTTCCCTCATCTTCCCCACAGTGAATGTTGCAAACTGCCCCTTCTGCCACCGAATGTAGCCCCTCCAGAGGTTCGCACTGCCAGGGCTGCGGCCAATGGCGCTTCGCCACTTGGCGTCTAGTGTGGCGGCGTCATCTCTGGGAAACGGGGATTGGAGGAGGGAGGGAGAGGAGAGGGGAGGGACGTGTGTGCTGTGCAGATACATCAGAACCACTGCCACACTGTCCCATCCATGTGCTGCTGCGTTCCCTCTAACACAACGTCGCCAACATTTGTTACCACAAGGTGCAGTGCTGCAGGGAATGAGACTCAACGCCCACTGCAAGTGTGCAGAAACATTAACACCACCGCCTCGCTCTCCCCCACGTGCTGCAGTGCTCGCTCCAACACCGCAACCTTCTTCCCTGTCACCAAATGTCAAGCTTGCAAGCTCTCGCTACTATAAGGTGCAGTGCTGCAGGGCAGGGCAGTGACTCACCGTCCGTTGCATGTGTGAAGATAAGTGAGAGCCACTGCCTCGCTGTCTGCCACGTGCTGCAGCGCTCGCTCCAACACTGCCGCCTTCTTCTCCACCACCTGCCGCAGCACCGCCGCCCGGTGCCGCCCGCCGCCGCCGCCTGTCGCCGCCTCGTCCTGGAAAGAGACAAAACGCAGCCACAGCTGCTCGTCCAGCGGGTGGCGCCTCGTGTCCTCGTTAAACTCTCTTGTCCGGCGAAACACGTACTCATCCCACGTCTCCCCCTCTTCCTCCCCCTCCTCCTCCTTTCCTCCCACACCCAACACCCCCTCCTCACCACCCCCTCTCCCCCCTTCTCCCTGCTGCTTTCTAGCAGCAGCAGCTGTGAGCTTGCGAACGCCAGTGGTGGAGGAAAAGGGAGGAAAGGGAGATTCTAGGGGGAGGAAACCGTCCGTTTCATCTTCTTCACCATCATTTCCTGGGTCTGTTTCCGATGCGAATCTCCCGATTTTGTAAGGCAAGGAGGCGCTAGGAGCATCAGGAGAAGCAGCAGCAGCAGCAGCAGGGGTAGCAGCACCAGCTGCAGTAGCAGCATCATCAGCACTAGAAGGAACCTCTTTACTGCTTTCATCCCCCCTTCTCCCTTCCGCTTCTTCTTGCTCCTCCATCCCTCCTCCACCCCGCGCCTGCCCCTTGCCGAACCGCACCCTCCGAACCTCCTTGCTCCGTTCGAAAACGGCATTCCAGGGCGACCAATACCGATTGGCCGCCGAAGCTCCAATCCCAGAAGGCCTCCCCCCCTTTCCCCTCTTCCCCTCCCCCGCTCCCCCCCCCATCCCCCCCTCCCCCCTGTGCAGCAAAAGCAGCAGTGACAGACCCCATAGCCGTATCCCACTCAGGCTCCATCAAACTCCGCATCCCAAACCCTAGATCCGCACCTTCCAACCTACTAGCCCCGCTCCCCCCTCCTCCCGCGCTCTTTGTGTGCTGGGAAGGCTTGAGGCCACACCAGGCAGGGGCGCGGAGGACAGGGATGGGGGAGGCGGAGCCGGCAGCACCAAAGGCGAGAGCCCAGGGGGAGGCGGCGTGGGTAGACGATGTGGCGGCTGTGGGATGGGCGATATAGCGCGCGACATTCAACCTGATGTGTTGTGTGGGGAGGGTGGTGGGGGAGGGAGGGAGAGAAAGGAAGGTAAGACGTTGAAAACCTCTCTCTGTCCGTCTGTGTTTCGGCGGCTCATGACTTTTTGAGGCACGAGAGAACTTTCGAGACACCGGGAGATTCTCCAAAGGCATGAGAGACAAGGCCAGGCAGGGGCGCGGAGGACAGGGATGGTTGAGCCGGCAGGGCAGCACCAAAGGCGAGAGCCCAGGGGGAGGCGGAGGAAGAAGCTGCTGCTGTGGCGGGTGTGGGACGGACGACATAGCGTGCCACGTTCCATTCCATCAGATGCGGTGTGTGTGCGGGGGGAGTGGAAGGAATCAATTTTGCAGGGAGAGAGACAGGAAGGTAAGAGGTTGGAAAGCCTCCCTTCCTCTCATGCGTGTTCCCATGGCCCCACCCCACCCACGCGAGTCACCCCATGCTCTCCATGTCGAATCCACATGGAACTGAAAAGACGTTTGATGCTCTATCTATCCTTTACACCCCTCACTTTGTTTGAGATTAGTTTTGAGAATTCTCAAAACTAATCGCACACCTCTCACCTGCACACCTCTCACCTCTATACGTTTCAACTCTATTCCTCACCGGTGCAGCGAGCCAAAGGCGTAGTTATCCCGGTCGCCCTTAGCAAAGATCACATACTCCCTCCCCCCTGCACCACCGGCACCTACCACCCTTCCTCTCACCCCATCCCACCAATCCTCATTCTCATACCCACTCTCCCATGCATGGTCCCAGCAGTAAACCTCTCTCACTCACCTGTAAAGCGAGCCAAAGGCGTAGTTATCCCGGTCGCCCTTAGCATCAATCACATACTCTTTCCCTCCTGCACCGGCAGCTCCTACCACCCCTCCTCTCACGCCCATCCCCATTCCCATCCCCATGCCCATGCCCACCCCTCCTGCGTGCCTCCCCCCCTCACTCCCCGCCACCATTCTTTGGACTTTCTCCGCCTCTCTGTTCCCCTTCCTCCTCCTCTTCTCCTCTTCCTTTCTCTTCCTGCGCCTCCTCCTCCTCTCCCTCCTCTCCTCCTCGTTCTCACTCTCGCTAGAGTCACCACTTTCGCTACTGTCACTCCCGGAACTGTCACTAGAAGAACTCCCCTTCCCTCCCTTACTCTTCTTTCTTCGCTTCTTCTCATGCCTGCACTTTTTCTCCCGCTTCTCCTTCCTCTCCTTTTCCTTCTCCTTCCGCTCCTTCTCCTTCTCCTCCCTTCTCTTCTTCTTCCTCCTTGTACCCTCACTATCCTCCCTTTCAGATACACTCACACCCCGAACCCCATCCCTCTTGTCCCCTTCGCTGTAATCACTGTCATCCAGTTCCCCCGTCCCTCTCCCATCCTCGGGAATACCGCCGCTTTCCTTGACCCTCCTCTTCCTCCTCCCATCTGCTTCTCCCTCTCCTTCCCCACCTTCCCCCACTTGCTCTCCTTCCTCCTCTCCCTCCTCGCCCTCTTCCTCCTCCTCACCTTCTCCCTCACTCCCCTCATCTCCCTCAACCCCTTCTCTCGGCCCTTCCGCTGCGCGCCGAGCTGCTGCTTCAACTGCTGCGCGCCGAGCGGCCTCTGCAGCCGGGAGAAGCTTCGCGGAAAACGACGGATTTGTCAGCCAATCAGAGTCTGGTAGGCTGGTACCGGGACCGTCCCGCGATGCCCTCTCTTGGGGGAACGTACCCGAGATCGGAAACAGAGAATTTGGGACGTTTACTGGGACGTTAACGGACTCCGTCGTCCTACTAAACTTCAAACCACCTCCGTTTTCGAACCCGCCTTCCTGAGACAATGTAGAGATACCAGAAACTTTACTTTGAGTCTGACCGACCGGGAAGATCGGAAACAGTGGGGGTCGCAGGCTAGCTCCAGCCGCGGAAACGCTCCGCGGAAAATCTCCCAGCGTTGATTGAAACGACGGGAAAGACTGGAATTGACTCGCGGCAACTTCCCGAGGAGGTTTGGAACTCTTAGGAGAGTCAACAAAGTCAACGGAGTCGTCGGGATCAGCCATAGCGAGACTAGCTATACCGAAACAATGCTAATTCTGGGGAAACATGTGAAACGAATTTCACGTGAGTGTCTGTTTGAACCATCTGCTGATTACCACCGTTTGCCAGCCTCCAGAATCTGCAGATTTCACGAATCTTCGATAGAAGTGAGCAACAGCTCGACAAGGGAAACAGGAAGTATGCGACGGGAATCGGAAACGGTACCTAGAACTTCTAGAATCTAGAGTCTGGAATGCGGCAGCGCGGAGGAGTCGAGGATTCTTGTCTGTCACACAAACCCTTTAGACGGACGCTCGATTTGCGGCTGAGTACAGAACTCTTATCTTTTAATGCACTCAAAATTCATCTGATAAAATGGAACCAACAGCTTGGAAACCACCTTAATTCGCCCAGGTGACAGAGTGCAATTAACCACTGTGCGAGCTTCACAATAAGTATGACTTCACTCGCCTTAAACAGCCACGTATATTGTTGACAAGCATGAACAATGGAAGGAGCAAAACAAGATTGACAATACAGCGTAATTTATGTTGGAAACAATAAGTCTTAAAGGCGCTTCTGTCGTGTCAAAACCCAAGACACTAGCGAAGCAGTCCGAATCGAAACATCGAGTCAAACCTCGGAGGTTAGGGTAACCGCCTGGAGGTTACGGGAAAGTCAAAGGTCAGCGACCTTTGACTCGACAATTACAGTGCGACAGTTAAGGACACACAACTGACTCGTTACAGAGCAGTTGCCCGAGTCGCACTGTATCGAATCGCAACAGCAATGCAGTTATCTATCTATTCGTATTCCCTGTACTCTTATATAAAATCTTGTATTTGCTTGTTTAATTTAATCCACTTTGCTCTCACACACTAGTGCAAGGTCGGTTCACGAACTTCATTAAACGCTTCCGCTATTACAAATATCCTACCCAGAGTTATCCTCTGCAAAGATCTTTAAGGGCTTTCTCAGCCCAACATGGTATGAGAGCTGACAGGGGAAAACTCTAACTTTTTTTATCATTACAAGACATGGCAACAAACAAGGAAAGGAGCTCCCCTAATGGCTCCTCGGGCACTACTCCTACTCCACTGCCAGCCTCTGGCCTGCAGACAGAGGAAGGCACGGCAGCAAGACCAAGGGGAACGTCAACCGAGACCCCCACGAACCATCCTTCTGACTTCGACCAGAGCATGATGGAGAAATTTTTCTCCTTCATGTCCTTCTACGAGCAACACCAGCAGTCGGGACCTGCACAGACACACAACAGCAACAACGGAGCGACACCCATGAGCCTTGACGGATCGTCATATGCGCGAGGGAATCAACAGCAGCAACCCACCTTTGCCCCGTACGAGCGCGGGTCGATCAGCTTCCTGCCTCAACCTTCACCTGCGCAAGACAAACCAATGGACGCTTTACAAGTTCAGTCGCAATTCGCGCATGTCCTGGAACTGCAAACATCAAGACCCTTCGACGGAAAGGACTTCTTCACATGGTCCTTTGAATTCGAGCTGATGATGGAGGGCGCGCAGATACTCGGCTTCTTCGACGGATCCCTGCAGTATCCAGCAAACGGCACACAGTATGAGAAGCAGCAGTATACGTATCAATCGATGATGGCGTATACTATTCTACTGAGAAACATCACACCAACTCAGCAGCAGAACATTCGCTCTTACCGGAACTTCGGCAACTCGGCGGAACTCGCGTACGGCCATCTGAAGAACCTGTATCAAGCAACAGACAGTGTAAACCAGAGCAGGTTAATGGCGCAATTGACAACAGTTGAAATGAAACCAGGAGAAAAGGGATTGGCGTATATCAGCCGATGTCGCGAATTGCGCGACAAGCTTCTTCGATGCGGAGGATCAATCTCTGAAGACGCCTTCGTGACAGTCATCATCGGTGGCCTCGGTCCTCAGTGGCGCGCCACCAAAGCAATTCTTCGAGCCCACGGAAGAATCTCTGAAGCAGCACTTTGCGCCGAAATCCACGCCGAGCAGCAGGACATGGACCTGCAAGAAGAAAGGCACAAGAAAAAGGCATTAGCACCGGAGTTCGCTTTCCATACTCAGCGACGACACAACAACTACAACAACCGACAACAGCAGCCGAAGCCAGTACCTCCGTTTTGTCACATCTGCAAAACATCAGGACATCCACGCACGCATTGCCCGTCCCGTCAGACAACACCACAGCGACAACTGCGGCCTTCAAGCTCCCAAGTTGCTTCGACACAAGCAAGTCCGACAACCACGATTCAAGCTTCAACGACTTCAACTGGACAACCTGCACAAGGAGCAAGAAACATAGTCAACTGCATGGTCAAGATAAACGATTCTTGCATAACAGAGTCACCACCCCACTACTCACCAGAAGAGGAGCTCGACAACAGGACGCCCCGCCGCGAATCACTCCACCCGAATCCGACTTATGCCGCCATCGCTCAAAGTGAACCGTCCGGCCAAGACACTTGGTTCTTGGATAGTTGCTGCGGGCAACACATGTGCTCGTCCGGACGCTTCGTACAGCGCGAACACCGACTCCAACGAGAAGTTGTCATCACGGTCGCCAACAATCAAAACCTGTGCACACGACGACAAGGAGTGGTACAGCTTCAGTCAAGAGAAACAAATGTCATACTGCACATGTCAAAGGTACTCATCGCTGAAGGACTCGGTTACAACTTACTGAGTGTTAGCCAGTTGATGGCGAAGGGGATTCACCTGGAAGCCGACAGCACCACCCAAGAGTTCAAGCTATACCACGGGAGAGGCGGTCTCTACATCGGGAAAGCAGTATTGAAGAACAATGTCTTCGTCCTCGACTTCGTTCCTGACCTGGGCACTACAGACAGCGACGCCATCGTGAACTTTACCGACTGGACACACCCTCCGGATCTCGACCCCGACTTCAGCCCGGGAGGTTTCTGGTACTCCCACACTATCCCTGAAGCAGAACGAACACGAGCGTTAGCAACGATTCAACAAACACCAGAAGCAGAGACAACATCGGCAGCAGCAACAACATCGGCCGCAGCAACAACATCGGCAGCAGCAACAACATCGGCAGCAGCAACAACATCGGCAGAAGCAACAACATCGGCAGCAGCAGAGACAACATCAGCAGCAGCAGGAACAACGACACCAGTCACAGTCGACGAAGCACCACCAACACCCGCGCAACAGCTGAATCCGACTCAACGTGAAGTCCACCGAAGCGCCAACTTCGTCGCCAGTTCTTACTCCAACTCCGACGCATACCAACGTTCACTCGGACACCGCGCCTCTGAAGAAATCTGGCACACACGCACAGGACATCCAAGCAACACGGTTTTAAGCAACACGATAAGAGCAGGAGTTCTTGACAAAGACTCCCTACTTCTACCCGACGGCAGAGAACTCCAAAAGGCACGAGGGACTTGCCTTATATGTCCCGAAGCTGACTTACCTCATCGACCGTTCGCTCCACATCACAACCCGAGCGCACCAGCGTACGCACCACTTGAAAAAGTTTACAGCGACATCCTCTACAATCGCGAACCAGGACAAGTCAACTACAACTACACCATCACCTTCATCGACGCCGCCACTCGATACGTCTGGCATCGTAATCTACCCAGCCGCGACATGGCGCTCGCAGCATTCGCCGCCTGGCTACCGATAGCAGAGAGAGAGTCTGGAACGCAACTGAAAAGCTTCCAGTCAGACGGAGGTGGCGAGTACACCTCTCAGCGCTTCAAGCAGTTCCTGGCGGAAAGGGGGATCAAGCAACTCCTCTCCCTTCCCTACGCACATCAGCAGCAAGGTGTTGCAGAAAGAATGAACAGGACTCTGCAGAACAGCATGCGCAAACTGTTACGTGGCATGCGGCTACCCAACCACCAGTGGCCAGCAGCAATGGACCATGCTGTCATACTGCACAACTTGTTGTCGTCGTCGTCACTCCCGAACAACGCATCACCGCATCTGCTGTGGATAGGGAAGCAGGGCAGCACAAAAATGTTACGAGTTTTCGGGTGCATGGTACAGTACAGACCCCCAGAAGCACGAGCGGGAAGATTTTCGCAACGGGCACAGTGGGGACTACACCTCGGCATCGAGAAAAATTACAATGCGTGGAGAATCTTCGACGTCCACACAAAAGAAACAGTAGCAGCACGTGATGTGATCTTCTACGAACGACTCACCCTTCAGACGTACCTCGCCAACTTGCACGAGAATCAGGACCTCACCGGTGGCTTTCGTGGTGACCGAGCCTTCGCGTCAGCAGCGGATGAAGCAGACTGGGATGAGCAGAACGTCGACAACGCATCGGAGGAAGCCGGACCTCTTCCGTACTGCTCCGTCGACGTGCCCATGGATGAGGAAAATCCTCGCGACAGTAACAACGCCGAAGTCTTCTACCATTTCGCCGACAATGGTTACGTAACATCTGCGACAGTCAACACCAACGAAGCAGAAAGGGTAGGGCCAAATTTCATACCCGACCCAGAAGTGGGAGACGAAGCAGCTTATCCCGAGGATCCAGAACTCCCTCGATACTCACAGACTGGGCTGCAAATCCTTGGTCTCGTCACCGCAGTCCATGGCGCCGCCATTCCTAAGGAGCCTGCGACGGTTCAACAGGCTCTGGAGGGGGAACATAGGGAGAAATGGCGTGAAGCCATGGACAAAGAGCTGAAGGCACTAGAGGAGCGCAACACCTGGAAAATCGTTCCCATCGGCGTAGCACAAAACAAGACTATCCTTACCGGGAAGTGGGTCTTCCGTGTGAAGACGAAAGCTGACGGCACCATCGACAAATTCAAAGCTCGCTGGGTCGTACGCGGCTTTGACCAGGAGCACGGAAGAGATTACACCGAAACCTTCGCTCCGGTCAGCCGTCACACCTCACTCCGAATCCTCATCGCCGTCGCCGCCATGAAGAAAAAGAAACTGCGACAAATCGACGTCGCAAACGCATTTCTCTACGCACCTGTGGATGCAGAAATCTTCGTCGAGCTCCCGCACGG